TAATCGAAGACAGGCGGGCCTCCTGAGAGTGGACCAACGGGCAATTGCAGCGAATGGCAGCGAAGATTTGACCTCGGCGATCTAGCATGGCTCACTCTTGGCGCAGTTGGCGCGGTACGCCCACCGACATAGCAGAGAGAGCGTTAGCGTTGAAGAGGGCACGATGAGAGTCGCATCAATGCGGAAATCAACGGGCAAGGAAGGGGTCCCATTTCTCGGGTTCTGGGCCGTTTCTCATGGTTTTTCCTTCTTTCTTGTATCACTGACCATCCCTTAACTTAATTTTGGGTTGCCTTTTCAGTAAATTTCGCCTCTAATAAAGGAGGTGCCGTAGATTATTATGTCTTTTATGAGGTCATTAATCTTAGTAACTGTTCTCTTTCTCAGGGTGACCTTATATTATGAAACGGTGCAAAAATCCAAAAAAATTATTACAAAAAAGTTAGAGGAGAAGCTACTTTCGCCAAAATCGCGATATTAGGGTTTCATGCTAAGGAATCATTAGGTGGTACAAGAAAGATCCCCAGTTAGTTGATTGCTCTGGAAATACAAAATTTCAAGGTGACATTATAATCACGAAACGCAGTATAAATGCGACCTAACCATAAGCAGTAGACCTGTGACACCAAGTACTGAAGAATTCTTCAGTCATTCAAAACGATGAGGGTCTAAGTGCGCCTTGCCACGCGCACGGTATGGGAATCGCGCCGTCCAGGTCATCCAAGTGTTCTGTCTGTCTGGGTTTGGTCATTGGAACCAAACTCATCCAGGTGATTAACCCTTTGACGACAATGCGGATTTGCACGTAGCGTGCTCGTGGGACCACGCCTCTTTTTGGCGCGCCCAACTCTCGCACAATGGGGCAAAATTGTCCCTAAAAGCAGTTTTTCTATCAAAATTTTGACTATGACAATAAACAAAATATGACTGCAGTCTTAAGCTTTATGATCATGTATTGTTGGAATTAGAAGTGGAAGTTTGGAAAGAAATCTCGGATTTCAAAGGGATGGTGTTTGAAAACTCTAGAAGTTCAAATGTACAGTAGAATTTTTGATATAGTTCAAACTCCTCCTTGTGTCTTAAGACTGTGAAAAGACGTAGAGGTCCTGATCTGTAATTCACCTTAAGCTTAATAATGTAAAACACTAGTTAATACATCGCCGAGCGAAGTGCCATATCCTAAAATTTCATATAAATTAGCTAGTAACAAACATTTCTGCAAAATATGCTAAACATAGGCGTAACGGAGCTTTGCTTATAATTACTGATATGTTGAAAATGTTTTAAATGGGTAAAGAAGAAAATTTTAGGTGGCACCCACCATTGGGTGCCATTGTCCCGCGCGACGGTCATAGTGGCACCCACCGGTGGGTGCCATTGTCGCCAAAGGGATAACAGGCACTGACTTTTACATTGGCTGGCCTCCGCTAGTCATTGTATAGGCCAAATCGCATTCAGGATCCCATTAGAAAAGTGAAAAAAGAGAGTGCGAGGCGCATTCCAAGGAGATGTTAACGTAAAATGTTTTACTCATTCATTTTTCTCTCCATCGAGGCCATCACGATTACCGATGAAAGTCAACTGCACAGCTCGGCCCGAAGGCCGATGTCAGACTTTGCGGTCGCGTCGCGGCCAGTGAATCACTCAATTGGCTGGTACCGCAACGCGACCGCGGACGCTAGCGAATCGCGCGATTCGCAAAGTCTGACATCGGCCTAAAGCAGAACTCAAATTCAAGCACCACAACTTTTCTTCTTATGTTAAAGCGAGAGATTACGATAAAGTGTGTGCAGCGTGGAAGTACATGCACCAGTGGAAGCAGTAGTCAGGGGCCGAAGGAAGCGAAATGTTGCGTTTTTGTGGCCAAAGGTGCGCTAGCTGCAGCGTACTGGGCTTGCCATTCCTTTCTGAGCTCCGCCACGGCCTGTGCTCCGCCCCCAGCCGCAGCGTCCTTCGATTATCGTTTTGATGAGGTATTCCGCTTGTGAGTGCGTATCCTATAACTTTCCCATGGAACGCGTTACCAATCAAAGCATGGCCTTTGCTGGTATGATGGTGGCTATCGGTTAACATGTGCAAAAGACCTCTTATTGGTTGCTAGCTCGTCCATTATCGGAGGTCAACGGGCAAAGAAAGGGTCCCATTTTGCGCGTTCTTGACGGATTTCTTTGCTTTTTTCGCCACTGGGGCATTATTCAGCATCCCCACTTCCACTATGAACCCAGTCCAATCTTATCGTAATCTCTCGCTTTAAATGGGCATTTCACCAGTAGATGCTAAGCTGAGAATTTTTTTACTGATCACGAAATTGCCAAAAAAGTATTCAAATCACTCTGGATATTTCAGATATGAAGGAGTATAAAGACTAAGCTTGATCAACAATAAACTTCTCAGATTAGCATTCGCACGCGTCGCCAGTTCGCGGAAATGAAGTGGAACGAAGTTTCAAGTGCAAAAGCGGATGACAGCTCAGATCAGCTTTATGGAGCCAAAGAAAATAATCCGACAATTGAACTGAGTTTACCACTTCAAGATTTCTATTTTCCAGCAAAGAAGAAAAACCCATGCTTTTCCTTTGCTTCCGACTTTGAGACAAAACTGAGCTAGCTTTATGCGCCAATTATCTATTCCTAGGAGATTTCACTGTTTGGGTGATTCACACTCTCAGAAATCCTGTTTTTTGATCTTGCGTCAGCCGGAGCCGGACGAAAGGTTAACCACTTGCTGACATGATGATCGCGTCGTCCGTGTGCTAAATCATTGTGTACATAACCACCAGCGCTCGTTTGCATAATTTCATTCTCTGCTCTTAGGAATGAACTGACGTAACTCGGAACAAAATCAAACAAATCATAACAATTCCCGTAACTTAACAACATAGAGAAAGCCTCTTAAATTATGTGGTACATAAATAACAAAATAGTAACAAAAAATGTCAACCGCGCTATAGCCTAACAACAAGGGCATAACATAGAACTCTAAATAAAACCTCATCTTGAAGTAGTGTCCAAGTGCGACTTTGTATGAATCTTGGCATAGTTTTCAAAATACGACAAACAAAACGTCGGCCTAATAAAGTTATTGCCAATCTTGGTTGGAAGCTCTTTTACTACACTATCGTATTCTAAAACCTCAACTGTCAAAACGAAAACACAATAAAGCAAAACAACATTGAAACCACTCCAAGCTCAAGTGCCTGAAAGCCATTCAGCCATATATCGGCACGTCTGGGGGCTTATCACATGCCCCGATGAGCAATCGTCAACAACTGGACAAGTTGAGCACGGCACTGTGACTAGCGGAGAGGGACGTGTAGTTGATGTGGTGGCTCGAACCTGGGTGCACAATTCAATGAAAAGGTTTGGAGAACTGTGCCCTAGAGAATTAACTATGCCTAAACTGTGCCCTAGAGAATTAACTATGCCTAACTAATCATTGAAAAAAAGGTATTGAAGAGTTGAATAAATGAAGAAGAAATGGCGGCTAATGAAAGAACTCACCTTCCCATCTGGTCGCCGCTCAATAGCACCATCTAATATAGCAACTTCAAGGATTCGCTCAACATCTTCAACAGTGATGGAAACGTTCAAAACCCGCTTTTCCATAATGAAATCTGCTACCTTAACGAAGTGAATTCCACTAATGGCTTGAGTCCTTCTATCAATGGAGCGGAAAAGCAGCATACCTCTTGAGAACGGACGCAGCTAAGCTCTTTTTGCATGGAAATGTCGTCAGGATGGCTGTCTATGGCCTGCTTCCGACGACTCTGAGAAAGTAAAGTTCTGGTGAATGCCTTACTTCACAAGCCTCTTATTTTACGATCGAAACTGCTTTAGTGACCTCATTCCTGTAAGGGGGTGAAGGGTGAGAACGTGCGGAAGCGAGGAATGGAAGAGGATCACGGGAGATAGGAATGATGTGAATGAGATGGTATATAAGAGTGTTGATGGTCTAATAAATCATTCCACTCCTATTGTGTTCGTCTTGGCGCTGTAACTATTCCCTAACCTACGAAGCTAAATATATGAACAGAACTATGACAAGGAGGCCGTAGCCATTTTTTCGCTTTGCACTTCGTTTGCAGTCCGAGTGTGGAGTGAATACGTATCGCTAACAACATCACAGGATCGATACGCATCTAACCTAAACTCGAACTGCAAAACTGTCTCCAAGTATGAGCGTAGCCCAAGAGGAGAGAAAAGGGGTCGAAGTTGGAATTGTGAAATCGATGCAGCATCACATGCTGCACTGCTGGTTTCAGCTTTATGCTCAGGTGTAACTTTGTACTGCATGTCTGACCAGGAAAGGTCATTAGGCCAACCCGGCCAAATGAAATGAGGTGCACATTTCTGTACGCAGCATGAGACGCTGAACTCAAATCTGCTTTCATTATCTGCTGAACTCTTCTCTGAAAGGAGTTACGGAGGGTTTTTGTTGCCGCCCTTGATTTTCAGTGTCTTGCCTGCAATCACATGCAGGGTCAACCGCCCGTTGCGCAAAGAACAACGAGGGGGTCGTATTCAGCCGACCGAAAAGGGAGGGGGTCGTATCCACAAAGACGGGCTGCAAGACGGCTTGAAAAGTGCAGTGTCCGGGAGTGCACTTTCACCTCTAATGTTCTCCAGGAGCTCTGCACGCTGTCGGAGAGTCACACAGACATGA